TGATCACCTGTAACAGAGAGAAGTTCTTGTGGGGGCCCATTCAGGAGGGGGCTGAAGATAAGGACATGGACATGTTCAGCTGTAGACCCCACAGATGGGGGGTAAACCCTAGTAACTGGGAAGGGACAGATCTAGGAGCTGTTTGGGAACGTGAAGATCAGGCACCTGTCCTTCCCAGAGGAGGAAGTGAAGGCCCTGACTGGCCACCCCTCCCTGGCCTGACCTGGCAGTCTGCTTCTTGTCAACCTGCAGGAGGACAGGGTGAGGACTTAGGGAATGGTGCTGGGGTTTCCAAGGAAAATTCCCTTCCTAGTAAGGTAACATGCTCAGAGACAGCTCCTTCCCTACGAAGGACTTGTAGTGTTTGCATCTCTGCTCACCCTCAGGGCAAGAGGGAGATAGCTTGAACAATGGACTGTTATACTAGGAGATTATTGAACAGACTTAGTCTTTTTGTGTGCTTGTGTGGGGCAAGCATGTCTGTGTGCACAGGTGTGCATATGCTAGTGGAGGCCAGAGGTCAACCTTGGTTGCAATTTCTCATGTCCTGTCCTCTTTGTGTGTTTGAGCCAAGATCTCTCACTGATCTGTAACTCACCACATAGGCTGACTGGCTGGCTAGGAAGCCCAAGGGACCTGCCAGTCTCTACCTTCTCAGCACTGGATTACAAGTGTGTATCACCATGCTTGGCTTATTTTTTTAAATGTGGGCTCTGGGGATTGAACTCCAGTCCTCATGCTTGCATGACAGGCACTCTGACTGAGCCATTCCCCTAATCTGGAATTTATTTTCTTTGATGCTAGGTGCCTCTGCATGATTTTCTGGGAACTTGTCCTCTATTGCTCTCAGAATGTGGAGACCCCAGAACTAGTGAGAGAAAGCAGGCATCCTGTAAGGCTGTCACTCAGGCCATGATGACATTTTGCAGTGTGACTCTGGCTGTACTAAAGGCACTTGCTTCTTCATGTAAAGATGTTGGTGCCACACTTTGCACAAACTGGAACATGGCTGCCTCCGTTTCCCCTCAGGTAATGCTTTCTTCCCTGTAGACTTGGCAGAAATCAAGCAGATCCACCCTCTTGTGTGTGTCCCTGATGTGTTGGGTCAGGGCAAGGATAGCTAGGTGGCAGGAGAGGTTAGACAGGGGAGTCAAAACTGGGTGCCCTGTGTGAAGCCACTTGGCTAAGGGCTAACCAAGGCAGCTGTGACTCCCTGTCTTCTGTACCATGGTCATTGTTCTGTAGGTTCTAGGCCACTGCCTAGAAAGAGGCACACCACTACACTATAGTGTGGACTTGGCCAGCTCACAGGCAATTTTAGTTCAAGGGCATTAGGGATAGGAAGCTGACCCTGAACTCTCAACCAGGAGAGGAAACATTGCACCACCTGCCCCTGATCATGGCAGTAGCAGAAAGGACCTAGGATTCTTGCAGCCCAATGCCAGCCTACAGGACAAGGGCAGCCTCTGGTGGGGCCTGCTGAACACACAGCTTGAAACACTGAGCACTTTTGCCTTTTAGGAAAGGGACTGCCTCTGGCTTTCACTTTCATGACAAAACAAACAGCAGCTGGCTTGCCTGCTCAGGCAGGTTTGAGGCTGGAGTCTTTGTGTACCTCCATGCTAGCCTTGCGGGTGGGAGATGTCAGCAGGCCAGATGCTGGACCAGAGGGATGCATGCTGTGATTTCTAGTCTCTGAGTGGCTTTGAAGTTTCGTGGAGCGTATTTTCCTGTGATTTTTCTATTTAACAAATGGCAGGATGGTGCTTTCTTGACAAGTTCGTGGGAGAAAAGCTCATAGAACTGGGCATTAAGAAAACACAAGGATTAGACACTAGACCTAAGAGAATCTCTGAGAAACATGGCCGAGAATTCCAAGGCAGTATGCAATCGCTGCTTGATACCAGGCCTGTCATTTTAGCTTATAATAGAGATGGAAAATTACAGGCTGTCATCGGTCAGCGCCACTCACGCTTCACCACCCTGACACCCTATATTCAGAGGTGGCTTCATCAAACACAGTATCATGGACCATTGAGCCGATGCAGTATGTCAACCTTATTTTTCTGAGCCCTGTGGTTTTTCTTGCCCTGGTCTTGTGTCCTAGCACGTAGCTGTGCCCAGAGATGCCACAAGATAATTCTGAAGATCTCTGGGTCTGTGGGCTCAGTTCAGGAGAGATACACAGATGGCATGGTAGCATGGTTACCTGGATAGGAGGTGGCAAGAAGGCTGAGTATTTCTCTTAAATGAGTGGACAATGCCAGCTGAGAAATAACATCTAGAGGGACAAGACAGAGGCCACTAAAAGTCTGACTTGGGCTCAGAACTGTGTAGAATTTGTGATGATACCTTATGGTCAAAACTGGTTGCTGAGGAGAGGGAGGGATGAGCTTCATGCATGGACCCACTTCCAGAGAGCCAGGGCAAACTTTATCAAATCCCTGAATAATGACTACCTAGAAGGAATGGTTGAATGCTTCAAATGCTTTTCCAGTATCAACAGTATGATCTTTGCCCACACCTATAGCCTTTTTCACTGTGTGTGTTTTGGATTTGGGGTAGAGGGGCCTTGTTCTATAGTCCAGGCTGGCCTTGAACTTCCAAACTTCCTGTCTCAGCATCCAGAGTTTTGGGGTCATAATTGTGCATGGCCATGTATAGCTTTTCATCTGTATCTAGGAACACTTTTTTGTAGGTTGCTTAAAAAAGTGTGCATGTGTGTATGTGCGTGTGCGTGTGCACACACAAGGCAGAAGAGGGCATCAGATCTCTTGGAGCTCAGATGGTAGGTGGTTGCAGCTTCCTGATGTGGATACTGGGAACCAAACTCGGGTCCACTGCAACAGTGGCAAGGACTCATTTTATAAAACCTTTGACATTTTCCTTAGATGAATAAAATACTTTTGTGTCTATATGCATGGGAAAGAATTCTACTAGATGTAATGCTTCCTATATATTGAACTCGGCTGCTTTGTCTGTGTTGATGGGTTTTCTCATGTGTTATTTTCTCTACTTGGTATGTACAATTTTGGCCCATCTTTGATCAAGCTGTATTATATTTAATCAATGCTTTATGCATTTAGTTACATTGTCGGGCACATAGCTATTCATCATCATGAAAGTCTTTCCTGCTGTTCTCAGCTTTTAAATTTGAAGCCACCTCACCCGGTACTTGCATTCCCTCTCATGAGCATCCCTTTGATCAACTGTTATCACTGTTTCAAGTCTTGAGGCCTCTCCTTTTATTACTTTTACTGTGTTTCTTTCATGTCTCCCCCCCCCCCACTTTGGTAATGGAGACTAAACTTAGGACCTTGTATGTGGTAGGAAAGCATTCTGGCATGGAGTTGCATTCTAGCCCCTTTAATTCAGAAATGCATGCATGTACATATGTAGGTCAGAGGCCAGCCTTGGGTGGTGTTACACCCTCCTTTTAAAAATTAAAATATATTTTAAATATTTAATTTTGTGCACGACTATTTTGCTTGCTCACATGGATATATACCATATGAATGCCTGGTTCCTGCAGAGGTCAAAAGAGGGTATCAGATCCCCAGAACTGGAGCTATGGATAGTTGTGAGCTGCCCTGTTGCTGGGTACCCCCCTGTGGATATGGGGGGTCAGGTCCCAATGTTTGGACCACAGGCCCTTTACTGACTGAGCCATCGCTCTGCTCCACTTCTTTTTCTTTTTTGAGGCAAGGACTAAGTTGCTCAGGCTGGCTTTGAACTCACTTTACTGTCCAGGCAGGCCTTGAACTCATGGCCCTCTCTTCTTTATCTCCTGAGTAACTGCAATTATAGGTCAGTGTCACTAGAATTGGCTTTATATTTCTTAAAAACAAATCATTTCTAATGTTTTTCTTTTTGAAGTCCAATCAAGTAATTATATTTATTTATGAATGACAAGGTCTCTCTCAAGTAGCCCAGGGTAACCTCAAATTCACTGTGGAGTGGAGGCTGACCTTGGCCTCCTGATCGTCTGCCTCTACTTCCCAAATTCTAGATTACAGGCATATACCACCATGTATGGAAGATACAACCACAGTTTTCTGTGGTGCTGGGGATGGAATCTGGGGCTTTATGTATGTCAGGTAAGCACACTACTTATAGTCACATCCCTATCACATCTTTGCCTTAAAAAAAAATTAAGCAGGCTGGGAGGGATGGTTCAGGGGTTCAGAGCACTGGCTGCTCTTTGAGAGGACTGAGTTCAATTCCCAGCACCACATGATGGCTCACAAATATCTATGATTCCAGTTCTTGTCTGACATCCTCAAACATATATATGTAGGGAGACAACGTAACCACGCGTAAGGGCTGGCTACAGGTGTGCCTGACAGGTGTGGTCAAGGTGAGGTCAGAGTGACATGGCATGGGCTCTTAAGCGACCATGAGCACATGGAATGGTCTCTTCCCCTTTGGCTGCCCCTTCTCTCTGGCCTCCCTGCCTTGCTGCCCCTGGGCACGCTCTGGCTTGTGTTTGGCTGGTATTTATCTAAATAAGGGTATCTTGAATCTACAAGCTTTTTCCTTCATATATATATGCAAAACAATGCACATTAAAAAAAGAATTCTAGACAGGCGGTGGTAGCACACACCTTTAATCCAGCACTTGGGAGGCAGAGGCAGGTGGATCTCTGTGAGTTCAAGGCCAGACTGATGTTATAGAGTGAGTTCCAAGACAGCTAGGATTGTTACACAGAGAAACCCTGTCTCCAAAAACCAAACCAGTCAAAAACTAAAAAGAGTTATCGGAGAAATAGGATATCCATGCTCCAACATTTTCCCCACCCTTCTTATCCCAAGAAAGTGAGACTTGCATTTTTACTTTGCCCCGCCTCCACCCACTCTTGATTTCAGTAACGTTACAGTTATTATATTTTTATTTTTCTTTCAGTCCCCAAGTCTCCAGCTTTATTTCCAGGTGTGTTCTGCCTCTGCCCTCTCTTAAACCTTCTCTCCTCTGTCCCTCACTGCTGTCTCCTTTCTCTCTACACTGTGATAATGTCTCTGGTCCAGTTCATCTGACACCTTCAGGCTTCTTTAGTGCTGAGGCCCTGGGTGCTCACACACATCCTCTTGTCTTCCTGGGTAAGTGCTGTCTTTGCTGGGACAGGATTATCAAAGTTCAACTTTTTGCTCTTTCAGTCACATAGACATCATTTGTGGTCTTCAGGTACTGTTAGAGGTGAGAAGTCTAATGTCAACCTGATTGTCTTTAATGGGCGATGTTTTTTTTTTTTTTTTTTTTCCCCCAGCCCCACAGGGTTTCCCTTGTCAGAGTTTCCTTTCTTGGAGTTCCAGAATTTTGCTAAAAAGTAGCAAGAAGACATAGTACTTCATCACTTTGGACTGGAGTTTGTAGCACTCTCTTTGAGAATGAGTGTATGTGCACATACTCGCATAACATGGCACATGTGTGGGGCAGAGAACAATTTTGTGGAGTTAGTTCTCTCCTTCCACATTTATACGGCTTCTGGGGACGCGAACCCGGGCTTTTAGGATTGTGTGGCAAGCATGCTTACTCTCTTAGCCCTAGATCTTATTGAATCCACATGATTACAGTTCTTTTTTTGAGACAGGGTTTTTCTGTGTAGCCCTGGCTGGCTTGGAACTCACTTTGTAGACCAGGCTGGCCTCCAACTCAGAGACTCTGTGTGCACCACCGCCCGACATGGTTACTGTTCTTTAACTCAGCAATTGTATTCCAAATTTGTTTGATTTCTTTCTAGATAGTCTTGCTGTATCACCCTGGTTTTTCTGGAACTCATAGGCATCCTTCTGCCTCTGCTTCCCAAGTGCTGGGATTACAGGTGAGTAGTTCCATGCCTAGCACATTTAATGCTTGATTCTCTTCTAACTGTGACCCTTCCCTCTCTGAATGTTAAGGGATCCTGTTCCACATCTCCAAATCTTCATAGGTTTTCCATTGAGGAAGATTTTCTTTTTCTTTCAGGTTACTTCATAAAGATGCGTTCTCTCTCTCTCTCTCTCTCTCTCTCTCTCTCTCTCTCTCTGAAGTTTTGAACTGGAAAGCTGGTTTCATTCATTTTTAATTGAAATAAGACCAATTTTCTGGTAGTTCCTCATTGGGTTTCATTCTTAGCATTCTCAGGAGATTTGTCCCCATTGTGATTTAGTTGTGCGATGTCCCCCATATGCTTATGGGTTTGAACACTTGATCTCCATCTGGAGATGCTGTGTTGGGAGGTGTTGCACCACTGGAGAAAGTGGGCTGCTGGAGGGAGGGAGGACCTTGACAAGTACAGCCTGACTTTGTTTACTGTACCCAGTCTGCATCCTATCCACTGAAATGTGAGCAGGCAGCTGTCCCTTCCCACTGCCACACCTGGGAGGCATTCCTGCTGCTGTGCCTTCTCTGCTGTGACAGACAATTCCCACAAGCAATTCAGAGGGCATTTAGTTACAAAGAAAAATGAGTAATACAGTTCCCCACAGTTCATTTTCTGTTCTAAATGACCTTTATTTAGGCTCTTAGGACCTTTGGCAAGCTCTTTTGATGTGGTCAGATTCACTGGACCTGGGCCTGGGCCTGGTATCTTTCCAGCAAGGGCCGAGAGGAGAAAAAGGCAGAGTTGTCTTCATTTACTTCTGTGGGTTCTAAAGATATTCAACCCTAGTGGCTCAAATCATTGGTCTGCATGTAATGAGTTAACTCCTCCCTGTATGCAAATGGTTCTGTGTACTATTTTTAGGACAGTCAGTTGACCATCAAGTGACTTTTCATAGGACTTAGTTGGATCCCTGTGGAGAGAGGCAGGGACAGGCACATCCAATACCAGGTAATGTCAAACTTCCCTAGCTGGTGTGGGGAGGTTTCCTACAGATCAGCAGAGCCCAGCCTCTTCTCAGGAGTCAGGAAGTATAGTATAGGGGCTACAGAGCCTTGCTGTGTGGGCCAGGATCATGGGCAAATCACTTAACTATCTGTGGCCCAGCACTTTGTGAGCACTTAGTCTGTGTGCTTTCTCTGTGGATTTAAGCATGTGGGGTGCTGCTCCTGTTGGTTGGTTACAACTATAGTTTCAAGGAGTCTGTTTCCACCAAATTCATGTTGGGGCATGTCCTCCAATGCTGTGGTGTTGAGAGGAAGCAGGACCTTCTCTGGTTCTATTAGATCATGAATCTCTATTTTTCCTGAAGGGATTAATGCAGTCCTTCTAGGATGAGTGAGTTCTCACAAGAATGGGAGTGTTGTGCCTTCCTCTTCACCATTGGCACGTGTCCCCATTCCACAAACATCTGCTTCCCTTTTCTACATGCCAACCATGATGGCAGCCAGCACTGCTGCCTGTGCTCTCTCATCAGAAGCTGACCAGATAGAGCTTCTTGGTCTTAGATGAAACCATGAGAGAAAATAGACCTTTTCCTTTATACATCACCCAGCTTCAGGTATTTTGTTATAACAACAAAAAGCAAATGGAAAGAGCCCACATTTGTGACTTGATTTAACACTATTCTCTAGATGGTCTGTTCATTCAAAGGAGAAGAAAATCTTGTCTTCCTTTTCATTCTCTGGACTCCAGAGGGCTTGTCCTATTTGACCCTAAGAGTTACTGACTCAGGAGAAGCAGGTATTGGGGGTGGGGGGAGTGCTGGGTAGGAACTAGGTTGTCATGAAATTAGAATTGACCATTTTACATTGTTTTCAGTAGTAGCCCTGGTTGAAGATACCCTGTGTATTGCCTAATAGGAGCATTACTCGGAGGCTGTTTCTAGTTTCCATTTGTCGATATAATAAAATGTAGGGACTTAAAGCAATTTGGGGAAGAAAGGATTTATTTGGCTAACACTTCAGAGTCACAGTTCATCTTTGAGGGAAGTCAAGTCTAGAAGTCAAGCAGGAGCCTTGGGTCTACTGCTTGCTGGCTTGGGTACAGGCTCATACTTGGCTAGCCTTCTTACACAGCTTAGAACCACCTGTATAGGGGATGGTGCCTCCTACAGTGGGCTGGATCCTCCTACTTGAATTAACAATCAAGACTATTCACCCATGGATATAATTACAGGCCACTCTGCTCTAGACAATTTCTCAACTGAGAGTTTCTTCTCAGATGGACAGGTAAAACTTACTGTTTTCTGCTTTCTTCTTGAGCCTTTATGGAAACAGTTTGGATAGTTCGTCACCCAGGGAAACATGAAACAATTTTTTTTAATTGAAACAATCCTGCTATTGGCTGTCAGCTTCAACATGCTCTACATACCTGCAGGCTTGGTTGGGACTTGTGCATGTCCCCCCAGCTCAGGACCCACACTTGGTCATGGGACTTGTCATAGGACAGCTTAGCTGGCAGAGGGTCCACACCTATGGACTTGAAAAGAAATAGTGACAAGTTGGTCATTGCTGAGGCTAACCTGATGTTCATTCTGGACTTCTGGAGTTGGGAAGCTGGCCTCAAACCCTAGCCAATAATCCCAATTGGACACCCAGTGTAGAGGCCTTCCCAGGGACTTTGTCCTCAGAGGACAAGGGACTCAATGAGTTGTCTTCTTGAAGAATTTAGTTTCTTGCTCATATCTCACCTAAAGTATCCTAGGTCCAACTTGGAAAGAGACTGAGCACAGAGTTAGTAAGACTTCCACCCAAGAGCCAGCTCTGTGGGACTCTTTTTAGTCTTCCTAGAAGTCTTGGGGAGCCTCTTGGACCCTCAGCATCCACCTGGGTTCTGGTGAGTAGTTGGTCATTTCCTACGATCATCTGAGGTAGATTTTGAGACCACCTGTTGCTATCCAGCTCTTACCTTTGTTCTACTCTGTGCAGCCTCTGTTGTACATCCATCAGTTGAAGGTGCTGGACTCGGACTACAGCATCAGGCAGACGCATGCTGCCTTTTTAAATTGCAGCACCTGAAATTTTGCTACCTGCTGAGGTGATAGCTTCTCCCTAGGCCCTGTCACAACAGTGCTCTTTTCTTCTTCTACTGTAGACTTTAAAAAAATTATGTGCACGTTGCATGTGAGTTCAGGTGCCTGAGGAGGTCAGAAAAGAGGGCTTTGGACCCCTGGAGCTGGAGTTACGGGTGGTTGTGAGTCACCTAATGTGGGAACCAAACTCAATTCCTGTGCCAGATCGACAAGCACTCTTAACTGCTGAGCCATCTCTCCAGCCTCACAGTGTAGTTTTTATGTTACAAAACTGTTCCTTGAGGATTATGTTACTGGACTATGTACCACCAGCTTTTCTCATAACCACTATGCTCAGTGAAGATGTGGACAGAGCTCCTCTGCCATCTTTTCTGCCCATTTGGCTACCAAGTTTGATACCTTCAAATCCATATGGATGAGCCCTGTCTTAGGGTTACTATTGCTGTGATGAAACACCGTGACCAAAACAACCTGGAGAGGAAAGTGTTCATTTGGCTACACATCCTAACCACTCTACATCATTGAAGGAAGCCAGCACAGGAACTCAAACAAGGCCAGGAACCTGGAGGCAGGAGCTGATGCAGAGGTCATGGAGGGTGCTGCTTACTGGCTTGTTCCCCATGGCTTGCTCAGCCTGCTTTCTTATAGAACCTAGGACAACCAGTCCAGGGATGGCTCCACCCACAATGGACTGGGGCCTCCCCCATTGATCACCAATTAAGAAAATGACCACAGACAACTTGGGTACCTTCTTATGGAGGCATTTTCTCAATTGAAGCCGCCTCCTCTCAGATGGCTGTAGCTTTCTGTCAAGTTGATGTAAAACTAGCCAGCACATGTCCCCAAAGCCCCACTTTCTCCACTTCATTCACCACCACAACTTATACCATATCAGCATAATTTCTGAAAATTCACTTTCATCCATATTCTAGTCTTTTTAGTCCATGGGGAAAAGTGGCCATCTCTGTCCACATTGGCCCAAGCTTCACTAAATAACTGTCTTTTGAGCCCTCTACCCACTTCTCATTTTCTATGTCCATCACTGTGGTGAGGTGTCCTACATCTCCTCAAAAGTTCATTTGTCTTTTCATGACCCTCCTCTTAGCATTGTGGACTTTGTGTTCATCGCTCCCATTTAGAAATACTCCATTGACCTCCCTGGTTTCTCCACTTCTCTGGACTAAGAGTTGGTATGTCCTGGATCGCCTCAGTTGAGGACCTCACCCTAATGTGTAGAACTGAACTTGGGATTTCACTCCCTGCTGAAAGGGGTTTCTTCTTTTTTCTGCATTGTCACCAAAGTCTCACTTCTCTTCCTTATTCTAATTGATAGCACCCACCCAAGTCCTAGGGAGAGTCTCTAATTACTTTTCTAGCCTTGACTGACCCTCAACATCGATATAGCCTCCTGTGAGCCCGGCATGTCTCCCCACTTCCTGGACACTGCTTTCACTATTTGTGGTCAACGCTCACTCTCGTCTGGACTGGTTTGGAATCACCCATGAGGCGCACCTGGAGCTATGCTTTTGAGCATGTTTCTGTAGAGCAGAATGTGGGCTGCACATTCCACAGACTGGGCCTCAGGCTGATTGAAAAGGGAAAAGGAGAAGGCATTCTGAGCACCAGCGTTCATCTCTCCTTCCTGACTGTGGACTCAAGAAGACCAGCCACTTCCCACTGGAGATGCTTGCTGCTGGGACGGACTGGACCCTCTGCCTTCAGTTGCTTCTTTCAGGTATTCAGCCACACCAACAAGACAAGTAACCAGTACATTTACCAAAGGCCTTGGCATCCAGCACTGCCATGATCCTACTTGGAGCTTTGCCTTCCACGGTAACACTACCCTCTGAGGACTTTAATGGCTGAGCCACCTCTCCAGCCCTTGATCTTTCTCTTTAAAGAGCCTTCTCTCTCGAAGGCGTCTCATTTATCTGCCCTCCTCACTGCAAGTTTCCTTGGTGTTCAGACAGTAGCCATTGTCCTCCCTCCTACCTAATCCCTTCTTGTGAGATTTCATGCTTCTACTCAGTGCTGTGAAAGAGGGAGTTGAAGAGCTAAGCCAAAAGTTTATTAAACTCAGAATGGGATTTTCCATAGTCTCACTGTGCTGAGCAGCTGAAGTCTGGCAGGAGCGAGAGCCTGAGTTAAAAGCCCCAGGATTAGGGGAGCAGATTTGGCCCTCGAGAAATTTTAAAATGATCAACTTGCTACTCTTTCTGCCTGGCAGATGAAAGGGAAAATCCTTTCCAATGGATGACAGCCATTTAAAGACTTTACACCTTAAAAATATGTAGAATGTTTGGATTAAAAAAAAATCACAAGGCATTTCAAGAGGCAGAGGTCTTTTTACTATTCAAAAATCATAACGTGAAGGGCCACAAGAAGGCAATTAAGAGTTTATATGAAACCGGTAGGTGGTGGCACATGACTTTAATCCCAGAGCTGTGAAGGCAGGCCAGTCTCTGTGAGTTCAAGGCCAGTTTGGTGTATAAAGCAAGATGTAGGACAGCCAGGACTATTGCACAGAGAAACCCGGTCTCAAAAAGCCAAAAACACAAACAGCAACAATAACAAAAAGGAATTTATATGAAGTTGGGAACTAAATAGCAAATTTGAAGGTAAAAATGAATTCTCTGATATATTAATAAACAGGCAAACCCATGTTAGATGAAGGAGAAGGTAGGATTAGCAAACAGAAAGATGCATTGTAGGACATGCAAAACAAACAGGAGAGAAGACACGTGAGATCCAATGGGGAGGCAAATCATTTTGAAACAGGGTCCTAAAGAAGAAAGTGAGCACAATACAGCAGAATTTTTGTTTTTGTTTTTGTTTTTGTTTTTTCAAGACCGGGTTTCTCTGGGCTTTGGAGGCTGTCCTGGAACTAGCTCTTGTAGACAAGGCTGGTCTCAAACTCAGAGACCCACCTGCCTCCTGAGTGCTGGGAGTAAAGGCATGTACTACCACTGCCTGGCAAGACAGCAGAATATTTAAAGACACAATTGCTGAGAATTTTCCCATCTGTTAAATGTTAAGTCCACAAACTTAAAAGCCTCTGGAAACGTTGAATCAGAATAAATACAAAGATCACCATATGAGAAACATGGCAGTTAAAGCACTAACCAAAGAGGAACTCAGAGAAGAAGAGAGGGAAAATGCAGTTGGCCTAGCAAGGAACCACAATATGGATGGCATCTTAAAATGCTGAAGGAAAATAACTGTCATCTAGAATTATTCAGAAATAAAGAGAAAATATTTTCACTTCAAATAAAACAGATCTGTTGCCAGCAAAAGAACTACTAAAAATGACCTCATTCTAGCACTTTGGAGGCTGAGGGAGGAGGGTTGTGAGTTTAAGGCTATGGAGTGAGACACTGTCAGAACAACTCCAGCCTACCTCAGTAATAAAGTGGACTAGAAAGTAAATATAAGGGCAAATATCAGTTAGTGTCTGGATATATGTATTTATATACAGTAATAATACATAATTATAAAAAGGCAGGAGGAAGGGTTAAAGGACTTAGTGTTTTAATATTATTGAGGAGTTGAAGTGATTGTGATGGCTAGTCTTAAACTTTATTGTTGTGGATAAATTTATTTATTTATTTATTTTTACTTTTGAGACAGGGTTACTCTGTACTGCTTTGGAGGCTGTCCTGGAACCAGGCTGGCCTCGAATTCACAGAGATTTGGCTGTCTCTGCCTACCAAGTACTGCGATTAAAAGCGTGCACCACCACCCGGCTTTGTTGTGGGATAATTGTACACTGTGAAGAGGTATTGCTGTGATGGGTAATAAAGAGTTGAACAGCCAATAGTGAGGCAGGAGAGATAGGCGAGACTTCCAGACAGAGAGAGGAAGAGGATGATTGAGGCTCAACAGGAGGCTCCATGGAAACGTGGGACAAGCTTAAGCTAAGGCTGAGCTTTCATAATAACAAGTCTCTGTTATTTGGGAGCTGGTGGCCCAAAGGAAAGTCGTCCTACATTAGACTCATCTGGGAGACGGGAAGCTTGGGTGCATCTAGGTCAGATTATCTTGATAATTGAGGTGGGAAGTCCCTCCCATTATAATAGCACCATTCTCTAAGCAGGGGATCTGGGATAGGAGTGGACAAAGTGAGCTAAGCACTGGCATGCCTTTACTAATTCACTGTTTTCTGCTCTTTAAAAATTATTTCTACTTTATACGAATATGTGTTTTTGTCTGCATGTATATATCAGAACTCTGGGAGCTTGAGTTACAGACAATGGTGAGCTTCCTCGTGGGTGCTAGTTAGAGCCCAGGTCCTCTAGAAAAGCAGCCAGGACTCTTAACCACTGAGTTGTCTTTCCAGCCCTTGTCTCTGTTCTTAACTGTCAATATAATGTGACTGGCTGCTTCAGCTTCCTACACTTGATTCCTTGCAATAATGAATTGTAATCAGAATTACACTTTCTCCCTTAAGTGAATTTGTCAGAGTATATTAGCATAGCAGCAGAAAGGAAACTAAGACATGAAGTAACAATTTATATGAGATAGAATCGGCATAAGGATATTATGTTATAGTCTCTTTGATACTAATAACATTGAGTACATCTTCAAAAAATAATAGAGAAAAAATAGAACAAATCTTTGGCAAAGCCAAAAGCAAGCCACATAAACAGGATAAATAAAAGGTAAGAAAGATGATAGAAACATTGAACTATACAAATTATATTAAATATTAATGGGTCAAATATTTTAAATAGAAGACTAAGATTGTTAGACTAGATAAAACTTAAATGTTATGAAAGAAGATCTTAACTATAAGGCATAGAGAGGTTGGAAAGTAAAAGGATAGAAAAATCATAGCATGAGAATGCTAATTAAAATATGATTTAGATATACTAACATTATTGAAAAACAGATTCAGAACATTACCAGAGACAAAAAGGAATATTTTGTGGGGTAAAAAGAACCTTTCCCCTAGAAAGAGACTATAATCTTAAATAAAAATGGATAGAACATTTAGAAGTAGGTAACTCTACAACATACCTCAGCAGTTGATAGACCAAACAGACAAAACGAATCACCTGAGAAAGGCGATCTGAACAGCACAATGAATCAACTTGACATAACTGACACATATTAAATAGCTCATCTAACACCAGAATACATGTTCCCGTAAAGTAAACACAAAACATTTATCAAAGTTGATCATGAGCTCTGTTTTAAAATAAGCTTTAGTATACTTGAAAAGATAAAAATTACTCAGTGTGTTCCCTGACCATGGGAAGCAGTTACAAAAAGAGAAACTGAAAACCTGTTGTATGTACGAGGAAAAAAACCACCTCCCTGGCTATATCAAATGTTCTTCACAGGGGCAGGAGAGAGACCACTCTCCTGGTTGGTTTCAGGTTAAGTTTCTATTCACAGTCCTTCAGTGGTTGGTCATCAGTCCAGTCTCACACTTAGCTTTCACCTTTCTCCTCAAACCTCCAGTCCCTGGCGATAATCTCCCTTCTTGTTTCAATGAAAGAAAGTAATCTACCTCCTGCCCCTGAATTGCCTGTTTGTACCCAGTGGAGGAATTCTCTTGGAGTCCACTAGAATTGTCTACTATGAGGATGCATAGGAAGAGTTTGGAAAGTTACTCCTATTAGCATACACATTCTGGGATAACTTTTCCTTGGCCACTCCTTCATTTTTATACTCTTAGCTTTACATCAAAATCCCTCTATAGAGTTGCCTATACCCCTCTTCTCTCCCCTATCATTCTGACTTGAGCCCCCTTCTCCAGGGTTGCCTTGACCGTTGGCATCCTAGCTGTTATAACTAAGGTGGCCTATGATGAGGTAAGATGAAATCCAATGGCTGTTTTTCAGATTTCCTAACATCCAAAGCAATACTTGACATCAGAGGCCACAAATGCCTTCTGGAGACCCTCTGCCTGTGAAATACCACCTGCCCCAGGCCTTCTTCTCCTTCTCCAGATACTCCTTAGATGTCTCTGCTTCTTGATATTCAAATGTGAGAGAGCCTCAGGCCTTCATCCTTGACCTCTTCTGTCTGCATACACTGGGTGATCTCAGCCAGTTTTCTAGATTTAATCAGGCCATGGGGTGATGATGCTCAAGCCTCCTCCTTCCCTTTGACCTTAGACCTGTTTACTTGACATAGCTACTTAGATCTCTGACACCATATTTCATCTCCCATCTTCTCTATGCTCTACACTCTGCCTTGAAATGCATCTTGCTTTAATCCTTGCATATTCATCTGTGGCAGAGGAAAATTTGAACTCTCCCTTACATGCATACTTGTGATTGCAGTCAGGGTCCATTTGAATCTTTCAGGATCTCCTGACTTGAAAAAAATCCTTAGCCATATCTATACTATCCCCTTTGCTATATAAGGCAATAGCCAGTTTCCTGGGATAGAATGTCTTTGGGCCCATTATTTACTCTATTAAAGACTATAAATGATATAACCACTCTATGCTCAAGCTCCCCTCACCAAGCCTTACATTTAACCCATCAGAAAGCATTTTAGGAAGGCTGGGGAGATGGCTAATCGTGCTTGCTACTTTTCCAGAAGACTGAAGCTAGGTTCCCAGTACTGAAGTAGGCCCATGACACCTGTAACTCCAGCTACAGGGGTTTGATGCTTGCATGCACATACACATAACTAAAAATAACCAAGTGAATCTGCTAATTTCGCATCACGGCCCTCTGAAGCTGCTCCCACAGTCTGTGTCTTATGTGGCATCTAGATCTCAGTTTCTGTTCCGCTCCAGAGTGAGAACCAATTTGAAGTAGTCACATTAATCCTGGGTTTCCACAGTTCTTACAGCACCCCAAAACTCTGCTTTGCATTCCACCTCCCTGCCTAAAATCTCATGCTGGGGACTTCAGTACAAACCTTCATGGCTAATTTTTTAAATATACAATAGTGCTGGGTGCACAGTGATAGAAACTTGATAGACGACTACACAGCATCTCTCCCCAGTCGAAGTCCTTCTCACAGGATCTGGGGAGTGTGCACGCAGCAAGTGCCCCAGGATTTCAAGTCTTTCCCCACTTCTTCCAAGAGCTATTACCTGTAAGACTTTTTGGGCTTGAACATCGACCACGAGGACTCTGTTCAGTGCTGGCTGGGCCACGTAGATGTACCGGTTCCTGACATTGACTGCGGATGCCCACTGGCAAGGCTGGGTGGCATCTCCTTCCCCATGAGGACAGATTTCTTCCTGTAAGGAGATAGATAGCCATGTAACATCTCTGGGTCCCTATCCCTTAACCCTCTTGGATTCCTTTTCTTCTCTCTTCTCAAACTCCTTGGGGTGCATACATGAACATGGCATGCAAGCCCTGCCATGTCACTAACTTCTTACTTGACCCTCATCTTTATCAAGGTCAACACTATGTCACCGAGTGCTCAGTTTGCAGATCTTTCTATGTTGAATGGCTCAGGGCTCATCCCTGGATTTCTTCTTTGAAGTCTATTCCCTTGTTTAATCTCATTGAAACCTACAGATTTAGGTACTCTCTGCACACTTACCACTCCTAAATCTGTGTGATATGTGTGTTCATATGTACAAGTTTTCACAATGCCTGTGCAGGCCACGTCATTCCCCCCAGTGCTGACCATCTTATTTTTCTATTACTATTTTTGAGATAGGGTTTTCCTCAGTAGGTTAGGCTAGCTCGCCAATGAACCTTATAATCTGCTTGCCTCTGTTTCCCCAGGCTGGGTTTCCAAATATGTGCTTAAAAACAGATTTGCTTGCATGTTTGTATGTATATCACATTTGGGCCTGATGCCTCTGGAGGTCAGCTTTAGATCTCCTGGAACTGGAGTTTCAGATGGTTGTGAACCACTATATGAGTGCTGGGTCCCCTGCAAGAGCAGCAACAAGTGCTCTTAACCACTGAGCCATTTTCCAGCCACGCTCTCTTTTAATGTGGGTTCAAGGATCTCAAACTCAGGTCCTCATGCTTGAAAGCAAAGCACGTTACCAGTTTCTATCTTTAAGCCTCTTCCATGAACTCCATTCTTACACGCTGCCTCTTGCTGGTGACTGATATGCATCTCAAACTGGTATGTCTAAAATCAACCTTTAATTCTTTTTCTTCAGTCTTATTTTACTCTTACTCACTCCTACAAAACTAGGAGCTCATTGCTTTCCTTCCTTCCTTCCTTCCTTCCTTCCTTGTGTTCCTTTTAACTTTATATTTTCTAAAAATTTATTATGTTTACAGTGTTCTGCCAGAAGAGGGCACCAGGTCTCATTACAGATGGTTGTGAGCCACCATGTGGTTGCTGGGAATTGAACTCAGGACCTCTGGCAGAGCAGCCACTGTTCTTAACCTCTGAGCCATCTCTCCAGCTTTACTTAATATTTTTAAAGATGGGAACATTGTTTTCGCTGTCTTCTGTGATACCTGTTCTCTGATTTCTCTTAGTCTGCCTGCCCCTGAGTTGTTGATGGGTCAGGTCTCTCTCTGTTGGATGTCCCTCTCATGCCAATTGCATACTCCCATGTCCATTCCTCAGCTTTGACAACACTCACCCAAACTCCACCGTGTGCCAAGTGCTCTGCCTCCCACACCTGGCCTCTTTTGCTAGTGTTTTCCCTACTTGATGCCACAGGATGCTACGAAGTCCTGGAGCACAGGACTGTGACCTAACACCCAACAGAGTGGAAGTGACCCAGCTCAGGGACAGGCAGGCTGAGGGAACCACAGATAACAGAAACCCATGAGAATGGGAGTGGGGACGGCTGCCCTGGATCTACCCCAGGGTTACCTCTTCTGCTGCCCATCCTTGTCACCTGTCACTTGATACTTGGCTTTATTTCATTTGTAGCACCTCTGGAACTCTGGGCATTCATTCACGTATGCCCATGCCACTATAAGAACACCTTCCTAGATGCTGCCTGTTCACCTTGGCATCTCTATTATTTGACTACGAACATCTAGAGGCCAGGAACCCAGTGCACCCTGGCCCTCACAGCTGCTAAATAGAGGTCGGAGAGGTAAAATTCTCTGCCTCACACTCCTCCCTTAGCCTGGACTTACACCCACATATAATAACCAGAACTGAAGAAACCCAGTCTCACATACATGCATGAACACATGGAGCATGACCTTGGGATTTTGAGTGTGCATGATATGGAAGCTGCCTCAGCCACAGAAACTCACATAACTCATGAAGATCTTCTCTGTAGGCTTCAGGTGTCTCTGGACCTCACAGTCCACAGGGTGGATGACAATGATGCCGTCGTCAGAGAAGACATAGAACACGTTTCCCACGCTGAGGCCTGGGAGAAGTGAACACTGTGTGGTCATGACCTTCTAGCCACTGGTAGGGTCACATAAGGCACAGCAGCATGGTAGAGGGTGTAACATACTTTCCTGGTGGGGAGGGGTCGACAGCCTGTCCACAATACTTCTTGATGGTAGTTGGGACCAGGGAAGGAAGTGTCCCTAAGGCTGGGAACCAATACAGCCCACCACAGATCTGCAGTACCCAATACCCCCTGCTGCTGTGCAGCTGGAACCCAGTCCCTCAAAGATGCCCAGTCTGGGGAGTGCCTGACAGCAATCTCAAGAGCCAATCTTGGGTGTCCCTCTGGGATTCTATGAGGTTAACTAATGTGTATGTGACACACGCTGCCCTTCTGTAAGCTGTGAATATACGTTGCTTTCCTTGGTTGATAATAAAAGCTGCTTTGGCCTATAGCAAGGCAGAATATAGCTAGGCAGGAAAGCCGCACTGCATATAGGGACAAAGAAGTGCAGAGTTGGGGGAGACACAAGCAACATGCCAGCAGACTGGTCAAAGCCACGGCCAGGTGACAATACATAGATTAATAGAAATGGGTTAATTTAAATGTAAGAGCTAGTTAGCAATAAGCCTGAACTATAGGCCAAACATTCTGTAATCAATATTATTGAGTGATTATTTAGAAGTGTCTGCAGGACAGGGTGGGACACAGAAACGTCTGTTTACATTGCCCTACAGTATCTAAGGCATCATGCCGAAACACCTCTGTCATGAATGGTTTACCTGGCAAACCTTGGGCTGAAACACTGACTCTGGGTACAGTCTCCCTGAGCTGCTTTGAAAGTCAACCACCAGAAGAGCCAACATAAGACTGAAAGCTTAATGTAGCCCACATGGACAGACAGCTACATTTCAGGCTGAGTGTAGTTCTCTCAGTGTGTGGGAACGTGAGAGTCCATACTCAACACGCAGTCAACCTCTAAGGGGACCCAGCCTCCTGACCCACCCCCCAGAAGGTTCTGTTGAAATTTAGTTTCTGCTACTGGGCTCCAAAGGGCTCCCAGCTTCCTTTGCTGCAGTTGTCCTGTCCCATCTTTCCCCCATTAAGACTTGAATATCATCAGAGAAGGCATAGTATTTAGCCACTGAGGTGAGACAGGGTTTGTTGGATGCTTCATCATTGAATCTGAATGCAGCATCCACCAGCCCTACACTCTAAGGTGGTTTCAGTGTGACTTTGGTTCTTAGAGTGCACAGCAACCCCAGTAGACTTGTGCAAGTCTTCACTGAGCAAACCTGAATCCCTCTGCAGCAACCTCTGCCTAGCAGTGTGTCATGCTTAAAAGACACAGAGCACAAGCTGAGTGACATGGCAGCCAGAGAGTGCACTAAGGATCACAGCCAGCAACCCTGCTGTTGGTCTTTATCCCTCGTAAGTACTGTGTCAGGCTCAGTGCCCACTGCTCAGGAGACTGAGCTGGGTCTGTGCATGTGTGTGCCACGTGAGTTTGACTATGAACCCCCTACTCCAGTAATAGGCTCCTCAAGGTTGATGGGGCGGGGAAAGGTGGCCCACTGTGGAAGCAAGAATACATGTGATTACAGGCATGACACAGGACAATCACACTCGGTACCTTCTTCCCGCCACAAGATGTTTGCTACTGTAGCAGCCAAGTGTTAGGAGAGCAGCCACATGACAACCAGAAGAGAAAGAAAAAAGACAATGTCAAATCGTTGCTGCCGTGATTCCTTGGTTTGTGCCATTGAGGAACACTCTAGTAACCCACTCATCATTGGAAGAATCTACATCACTCACTGACCCAGCAATGGTATCGGGCAATGAAGCTGGACCCAGGTGGACACTTCTGGGTCTCAAGATGCTTTTGCTTTCTAAATGGATCTTTAAAACTGGGCCCCAGGATCCCAGCAGCTAATCTGCACCCCCTGCTTCTGTGGACAGTAAGGAATGAGTAGCATCTCACCCTGATTTCCTAGGTCATTTCCAGGAAAGTTGATTTTCAGTTAGGACTCTCCAAGGAAGAGCACTGTTTCAATGAAAAAGGCTTATCTTGGAGTCTGACTGAGGGAGAGGAATTGTATGGCGTCCATGCCATAAATTCTACCTGCAGAACCGCCTGGGGAGGCAGTGGTCCACTTAGTACACTTAGCTCATGAGGTGGTGGTGATGATTCCTAGAGGAGAGGCCACTCTGCTTGTAGTTGTGTACTCATCTAGTAGCATCCCCATACCAGACAGTACTAAACCCCATTCATTCTAGTTTCCTCCTATGCATGCATACCTATGATAAAGTTCAACATATAAATCAGGCAGTACAGAATTACGAATACAATAGAATAATTACAACAAACTGTGATGGAAAAGTTGCTAAAGGAGCTAGAGAAATGGCCTAGTGCTTAGAAGCGTATGCTGCTCCTCTAGAGGATCAGAGTTCAGTTCCCAGCATCCTACATCAGGCAGCTCATAACCACCTATAACTCCAGCTTCAAGGGATCTGGCCCCCTCTTCTGGTCTCTGTAGGAACCTGCACCCAAAAGTTACACATACAAAAATCTTAAAGGGATCATTTCTAGAATTTCAGATCAAAGGAAGCAAAACCATAAATGAGAGGGGACAACTGTCTGTCCTGAGAGCTTCCAGGCCACTGGGATGGAGCGCCTGGTGATGTGAAAGCTTTAGTGACCAAGTTTCCAGCCCATAGGAAGCACGAGCACAGCTCGGGTATTTGGGCTTCCTTGTGGTCCTGGACTTTGTGTCCTGACCAGAGACTTTAATCTTCTATACTTCCAGAGCTGTCTAGGTTGCCTGGAAAGGTCTCCATCTGTACTTAGCTTTGTGTACAGAGGAAATAGATTTATCCCAGCCTTCAGAGACTCCCAGTTGGTGATTGGCCCTGGAGTTTTAATGCAGTCAGTCCCCTTGTCCCCTTAACACTCCCAAACAGCTCAGCAAGGATCTCAGAGGCAATAGTGGACTCACAGGTCTTCCTAGCCGAGTCCTCAATGAAGAGGGAGGAGATATCTTCATCCACGCCCACTTCATTCTTGGCAATGCACGTATATGCCCCTGTGTCTTCATAGCGTACGCTGCCAATGTGGAGTTCACTTCCATTGGCTGTAGAAGGGACAGTGGCTCAAGAGAGGCACTCTCAGGGGGCTCCCTTTCACATGCCCTCCCCACTACCTTCTCAGGAGCTCTGAAGAGTGTTGGGCTAAAAATACAGTCCTTGGGTGTGGCTGGGAGCAGTTAACATTCTTGGGACTGGGCCCAGGACAGGATGGCATTGCTAAAATACAGAGTGTGCTCTGGAATCTGGCCAACGGTCTCTCAGATGCCCATGAGACCTGTGTGCCTGTCATCAGGGGACCTCTGCTTCCTCTTAACATGCCAGGCTCAGCCATGATCTTACCTCTCATTTCCTGTCTGGGGATTCATGTGCAGTTCTTACCCAAGAGGGAGAGCTGTTTGGACATCTGGGCTGAGACATCCATGCCATTTTTCAGCCAAATGATTCTGGGCATGGGAATGCCCTCAGCATGGCATCGCAGGCTGGCTGCTACTCCAGGCTCTTGTGCCTGGGTCTCTGGATAGACACGGATGACTGGTGGCACTGTGGGTGAGAACAGTATTTGTAAGAGCAAATTCACACCTGGCCTTGGGCTGTAACCAAACCCTGAGACCCTGCTCCATAGGGTGAACCCAAGAGGTGACTCTGGAGGCCTCTGAACCAGCTTACAATGATGTCTTTAGCAACCCAATAGCTGAGGGAAAAGGCTGTAAAATGGATCACAGGCAATAAACACATCCGGTGTGGTACCTCGTAATTCATGGCTTCCACTCTTGTTCTAAATATGATCAGAAAGTCATCCAAATATTTAATACTGTTCAGCTGCTGCATGTAAAGAGCATCAGCCACTGGAATTTATCTCTGAATGAATGAAATTTAGATGTATTATTCCTGTTATCGGAAAGCCATTGGATGGGGCCTTAATTTCTTGCAGGAAATGCTTCATGAAGCACTTATGGGCACTGACTGGCAGGCTGCTAATTACATCACGGCTGTGGGGAAGCCCATCGATTTTCCAGTGGGTCATTTTTATTTCTTCACTCTCTAAGCCCTGGGACCTGCATGAGAGGAGGATGTGTCCTCCTTGGCGGGGGAGTGACTCAGCTCTGGACCCTGGTAGCCAAGTCTTAGCTTAGGCATACGACCTGGCCCACTGGATAGATGAGCACAGGTAGGCACGACTCTGGCACATTCCACATTGGACTGGCCCCTCTTACAAGGGCAGGCTGTGGGGAAGGGCTGTTGGAATAGTGGAGATTGTTGGGGAAGAGTCCCCCTCCTGGAAATAAAAGCATCATCATTTCCCATATTCATAGGGGCTTATGTTTACGAATATACTTTACATACTTTAAAGCCAGGGTTTGAGAGTTTATGTAAACAGACTTGAGTATTAAATCACACACCTTTTGGAAAGTGGGGAATGGACTCCTCTTGAAGCAGATAACTGTTTTCTTATCACTATTTGGAAGTTCCTTTGTGTATTAAAAGGAGGAGTCCTGGTATTTGAGATGAGAGAATTTTCTCTGGACTAGCAGAGAACACTTGATATGGACATTGGAGGAGCTGATGGCACTGGCAATGGAGTCTGAGTAAGTAGCATGCTGGTGACCCATGCTCAGTGGACAAAGGACAAGAGAGTAACTCTAGGCTCATTAGGAGCAATAGATCTGCAATTGCTATAGAGACACTTCAGGGGTCCATTTAGCATCTACCAACTCAGCTAGAGTTTCAAGGATTGCCCTGGCTACCTCTGGGGTGAAGTTTTGGGGAAGGAGGGGGAAATCCAAACTAAGCTCAGGGAGCCCCAAGAGCAAGATGTCTGTGCCATTTCTCTCTCTGGTTCTTTGCTCAAAGTTCTGGAGGGAGAGTCTCAGGCGATAGAAGAGGGGCCTTGTCTCTGGTCAAGCCATCAAAGATGGAGGAGGTAAGTGGAACCAGTTGAGATGTGGGTGAGGATTGTTTTTAAGAACACAGGTGTGAACCTCTTTTCTCTGATACCTTGTTCCTATAGGAAAGAATGAACCTTCCTCATACTTCCATCGGGCAGAGAGAAGAATGGGGTCCAAGAATTTAAGTAAGGAGGCTATACCTTAGAGCATTGAGGCTGATGGGTGATTTGAGAAGGTGCTAGAGAAAACCAGGGTTCTAGTTGAGGACTGTCCAGGACCTGAGCATTAGTGATCTCAGACTCTTGCAAGATCTCCATCTATACATAGCAACATGCCTGGAAACCAGAAAGCAAACCTAGAGAAAGGGGTGAAACGGAGGACTCAACTCAAAAGTCAAAAAGAGAGACTGACGAGTAAGTCCATGAAGTGCTTATTTGTAAGAAGAGCAAGTTTGGTCAATGGGAAACTAGAGAAAGAATACAAAGGGGTTTAAGAATGTGAGAATGTGATGGGAGTTGGTGGTGCACGCCTTTAATCCCAGCACTTGGGAGGCAGAGGCAGGTGGATCTCTGTGAGTTCAAGGCCAGCCTGGTCTACAAGAGCTAGTTCCAGGACAGTCTCCAAAGCCACAGAGAAATCCTGTCTTGAAAAAACAAAAATAAAAAAAGAATGTGAGAATGCTCTATTAAATTATAGGTAATCAAAACAAAAACCTCAATGAAATTTAAAAGGAAACTTTAGGCGCTATAGAGTTGGCATTATGTGTGTGTGTGTGTGTGTGTGTGTATGTTGTATGTATGAATAAGCTATGAGTTTATCTCACCTGGTTCTTGTGTTACTTTTCTATTGCTGCGATGAGAACCATGGCCCAGGCAGCTTACAGAACAAAGAGTTTATTTGATGCTTACAGATCATGATCATCATGGCAGCAGATGATGGGCAAGACCTTGGAGCAGTTGTTTAGAGCTTACATCTTATACAAGAATTGGAGGCACAGGCAGAGAGCACTAACTGGGAATGGTGTGGGCTTTTGAAATCTCAAAGCCCATCCCCAAGTGACACACCTCTTCCCACAAGGCCATATTTCCTCATCCTTCCCAAACAGCTCCACCAACTGGGACCCAGTAGTCAAATGTCTGAGCCTATGTGGTCTGATCTCATTCAAAACACCACAGTCCTATGTAAATCAGAATCATAAATGCACTGTTAACTGTTGAAGTCTAGTAGGCATTTCAAGAATGCCTAGACAGATGGCTCAGTGGACAAAGCATTTGCTGTGCAAGTGTGAGGACCTGGGTTCATATCCAAAGTATCCATGTAGAAAACTGGACTCAGTAGCATGCATCTATCATCCCAGCTCTCCTAAGGCAAGATTGGAGGTAGAGGCAAGAGAATCCCCAGATGCTCATGGGGCAGCAGTGAACAAGAGGCCTGTCTCAAGCAAGATGGAATGTAAGGAACAACATCTGAGATTGTCCACTGACCTCTACATGCATGCTTAGGCATGTGCACACCCGTACACACATAAGAACATGTAGACACACATGCATAAAAACACAGAACATGCTCTGTGTATAATAAGTCTCAGTGTCTATTAGCAAACCTATAATCCCAAGTCAAAGGTGGCCAAAAAGAAAACCATTGGATTTTCTTGTTAGGCACCAAAAGAGTCTTTGAAAAAGACCAAACCCCATTTCTTGTTTTGTGAGTCTCAATAGAATAGGAAGAAAATAATGTTTTCTACAATGAAGAGTATATCCATAAAAAGAAGGAACACCACAATTCCTTTCAGGAAAAAGAAAAAGGAGAAAGTAAAGAAAGCAACATTGACTTTGAAGCTCACTGATGTGGTCAAGGAAGGCAAGATATGGGGGGGGCGGTTGTCGATATTAAAGGATGATGTCATGTTTCCAACTGCTGTGACCAAACACCCAGTAGAAATAACTTAAGGAATCTCAGCTCACCTTGGTGGGATGGCATGGTGGTGGGAGGGGCTCTTCCTCTGGTACAACTGAGGCTTTTCATGTTGTGACCAACCAGGAAACAAAACCTTGTGCAGTGGGACCTATTTCTATTAGCAAGACCATCATCTCCTAAGGGCTCTCCAGCCTTCAGAATAACATCACAAACTGAGGACCAAATGTTCAAAACACCCACAGGGGCATTTTAAAATAAAAAAGATTTACATTTATATACATTTATGTGTCCGCTTGTCTGTATGTGTACCATGTGCATGTAGTACCCTGAAGTGCCAGAAGAGGGCGTCGGGTCACTGGAATTACAGGAGGTTGTGTGCCACCCCCTGTGGGTCCTGGAACCTTGGTCCTTACGTAAATACTCTTAACCACTAAGCCATCTCTTTAGGCTCTTAGAGGGACATTTAAGATTGTAACCATATAATAGAGAACAATGATATTTTAGGTAGCTAAAGGACACAAACCCAAAAAGATAGTAATGATTACATGAATATAATAAAGAGCTAGTACCAAAACACATAAAATGAATAGTATCTTATAGATCAGTGGAGACCAGAGAGACAACAGACTGGACCCAAGTGATGAAAACTATAAAATGTCACTGACAGCATAAGAAAGTAACAATTCCAGGGAGGTCATTGATTAGGAGATTTCCCATTGTCACAAACAAGGTCTGACAAGTTAACCCACAGACTGAATCTAATTTCAATTAAAACCAGTCCATTGGGGCTTGACAAAATAATTCTGAGTGTATCTAGCAAGGAAAAAAATTCAATGCATGGCTGAGGAAACTGAGAAATGGCATTGTCCCTTGCCATTCTGCTAAACCAAGATATCACAGAGCATTACAACACTGAATGGGGGGCCGAGGGCCTCCTCCTCTTTGAGCCCAACACCTGGCTAATGACCTTGATTGATTTTCACAACCCTCTGTCAATTCCATATCGGGCAGCTGACAGCTATGAAATACCAGTTGGTGTCAGGCATGATGCACACAGTGTAAGAGCCTTGGTCCCTTGCTGCATGGCAGAGCTTTCTGTGTGGGAAAGATGCCTACACAACTAGTTGCAAATGTGAAGGTCACTTCCAGGGAGCCCTGGGGGGCAAAGCCTAGCAGGCTTCACTCTCCTCCTCCTACAGGGGAGATTATTGGTGCAGAATTCCTTCAGGGAACTAGAGAGATGAGGAATGGGACTGGTTCCCGCAGTGGCTGGCCCCAGCTCTGGAGACTGCCCTTGGCCTCTGCTCTGATCTCCGACAGGAATGTGTGTGTAGACCGAGATGTTTCACACTTGAGCAGGAATCATCTATCTGATCACGTGTAATGAGCACCCCTTTCCTCCCCAACGCCCCACTGACTGTGTGCACTGCTCTGAGATGGGAGCTTTTCCAGACCAATTTGGGACTCAATTTAAACTAAAATATGTGACAGTGTTCTAGAACAAAAGGACACCTGACCGAAAGCCAAGGGCATAGGATGAGTCACTCAATAAAAATACATGCCTAAATTCAAGGCACTAAGCTCTCCATAGGCTGGGGGTGGGGATGGGTGTGGGTGGGGTGAACGGGACAGGATGTGCAGTGACACACACACATGCCCTCTGACAGCCTGGAGGTTTCCTTGAGGGTGAGACAAGTCTCCTTGAGGGGAATCAGAGAAGGACTGAAGAGAGGACTT